AAGTGGCAGGCATCCTCCACACTGAAGCACCCTCGTACCCCCGCTGGCCATGGCCGTGTTTGTTCATGCATTGCTGCAGTTTTTTACTCTGCCCCCTGTTCATTCCCCTACTCCCCATTCATTCCCCCTGCCCCCGGTTCGTTTTCCCAATCTCCTATTCATTCCCCCCACCCTCCATTCATTCCCCTACCTCCCCGCTTGCTGTCCCAGGCCCTCCACACTTACTGGTAGTAGCAGAGAATGAGCGGGAGGCTGGAGAAAGCAGGGAAAGTCTCCAGCTTATCTCCAGGGGCTTGCTTCAGCCTCCTTTTGGTCTCTAGCCCCCTGCTCCTTTCCAGCCTTGGGAGGCTGAAGGCAGCAGCGGAATGAGCAAGAGGCTGGAGCCAGCCCAAGAGACATTCCCCTGCTGTCTCTAGCCTCCTGCTACATCCCCTGCTTGTCTCCAGCCTTGGGAGGGAGCAGGAAGCTAGAGACAGCCCCAGAGACTTTCCTTTGCTGTCCTCTGCTCCCCTGAGGCTGGAGACAAACAGGGAAAGGAGCAGGGGACTGGAGACAGCCCCGGAGACATTCCCCTGCTGTCTCTAGCCTCCTGCTACATCCCCTGCTTGTCTCCAGCCTCGGAAGGCTGGAGGCAGCAGTGGAATGAGCAGGGGACTGGAGACAGCCCTAGAGACATTCCCCTGCTGTCCCCTGCTGTCCCCTGCTCTCCCGAGGTTGGAGACAGCAGGGGAATGTCTGCGGGGTTGTCTCCAGCCTCCTGCTCATTCTCTGGTACTGCCAGTGAGTGTGTGGCGGCTGTGAGAACCAGCAAGGAACTAGGGGATCAAATGGGTCAGGGGGAACTAACAGGGAGTGGGGGGAGTGAGCCGGGAGCTAGGGGAATGACCTGGGGTTGGGGAGAACAAAAGGGGGGTGGGGGGAATGAACAGGGAGTTGGGGAAAGTCCCCTCCCCGCCCTCCAGACCCCCAACCCCCTCCTTAGCTGGCAAAAGGTGGGTCCAGGTCCCTGGAGCTTGCACCGCTGCCCGCCCAGGGACCTAATTTTCTCCCTGTGCCACAAGTTTGCAGCACAGGGAACAGGTTTTCATTCCTGCATGTGCCTCTTGCCCCGCCTCAAAGGGGCTTGAGACGGAGCAAGAGGCATGTGCATCCTCATCTGGACACACCCATAAAGGCACATGTGTAGATGCCAAAGCCTCATGTAGACACAAACAGGGAAGCTGAGTTGGGGGAGAGTAAAAAAGAAAAAATGAAAAGAGGTTCCCCTTACTGAAATTAAATGCTTCACAACACTTCGACATTTTTCCTTTCATTGCTTTCCAAAAAGAAACAAAAAATTATGATCAAGGGGGAAAAAATCATTTGTTTGTCACATAGGAGTCTTGTTTAAAAAAATAATTGAAAGTCTTTCAGTTTTATTTACCCCTTATTGTATTACATACCATATAGGTGTGATCAAAAAGTCTGTTATTAAAATATCAAATACATGGCTTCTGGCATTTTTGTAGTGCCTCTGTTATAAGACGATGAGGAAACAGTGGTACAGTACATTCCAGTAGTGAATGGCTAAACTTGATGTTCGCCAAAGGCATTCAGGAATGTCTGAAAGCTAAAAAGGAGGCGTATACCCAGTGGAAGAGAGGGGCTATCACCATGGAGGATTATATCTCAGTTGCTCGAGACTGTAGGGGGACTGTTAGGAAAGCTAAGGCAGAGATGAAACTAGGACTAGCAACCAGGATCAAAGATAACAAGAAGTCCTTTTTTAAATACATAGGGAGTAAAAAGAAGGCACTAGGTAATGTGGGGCCCCTGCAGGACACGCTTGGCAATCTGGTGGTTGCACCACACGAAAAAGCTGACCTCTTTAACAAATTCTTTGCCTCCATTTTTCAAAGCAGGGACCAGGACATCTTCCCTGCCGGGATTCTGGACAGACTCTGGAGAGGCACAGCCAGGTCTAGGGTCAGAGAGGACCTAGTTCGAGAACTTCTGGTGGGGCTGGATGTGTTTAAATCAGCAGGTCCAGATGCTCTTCACCCCAGGGTGCTGAGGGAATTGGTAGGGGTCATTGCAGGGCCCCTGGCACAGCTTTACAAGCACTCGTGGTGCTCTGGCCAAGTGCCAGAGGACTGGAACAAGGCCAATGTAGTCCCCCTATTCAAAAAAGGGGGGAAGGAGGACCCAGGTAACTATAGGTCTGTTAGTCTTACCTTGGTCCTGGGGAAGCTCTTTGAGAGAATTATCCAGGAGCACATCTGCAAGGGACCAGCAGGGGAGATCATGCTTAGGGGCAACCAACATAGGTTCATTAGGGACAGGTCCTGTCAGACCAACCTGGTTGCCTTTTACAATCAGGTCACAAAATCCTTGGATGCAGGTGTCATGGTGAGCGTAATCTTTCTAGACTTTAGGAAGGCCTTTGACACTGTCCCTCACCCCATTCTCATTAAAAAAATAGGCAACTGTGGCATTGATGCCTACACAGTCAGATGGGTCACAAATTGGCTAGAGGGCCGCACCCAGAGAGTGGTGGTGGACGGGTCATTTTCGGCATGGAGGCGTGTGGGCAGTGGAGTCTCCCAGGGCTCGGTCCTTGGGCCCGCATTGTTCAACATTTTAATCAGTGACTTGGACAAGGGGGTGAAAAGCATCTTGTTCAAATTCGCAGACAACACTAACATGTGGGGAGAGGTGGGCACAATAGAAGGGAGGCACAGGCTACATCTAGACCTAGACAGGTTACAGGGGTGGGCAGATGAGAACAGGATGGGTTTCAACACTGACAAGTGCAAGGTGATGCACCTGGGGAGGAAGAACCAGCAGCACACCTACAGGCTGGGGAACTCCCTTCTTGTCAGTGCAGAGGCAGAAAAGGATCTTGGAGTTATTATCGATTCCAAGATGAATGTGGGACGCCAATGTGAGGAAGTGGTTGGTAAGGCTAGCTGCTCCTTGTCGTGCATCCACAGATGCATCTCGAGCAGGTCCAAGGAGGTGATACTCCCCCTCTACGCGGCACTGGTCAGGCCGCAGCTGGAGTACTGTGTCCAGTTCTGGGCACTGCACTTCAAGAGGGATGTGGCCAGCATCAAGAGGGTCCAGAGGATGGCCACTTGCATGATCAGGGGGCAGCAGGGCAGGCCCTATGAGGAGAGGCTACGGAAACTTGTTCAGCCTCCACAAGAGAAGGCTGAGAGAGGACCTGGTGGCTGTCTATAAACTTACGAGGAGGGACCAGTGGGGAATCGGAGAGGCCCTGTTCCCCCGAGAATTACCCGGAGTAACTAGGAACAATGGCCACAAGTTGATTGAGAGTAGGTTCAGGCTGGACATCAGGAAGCACTACTTCACAGTCAGGGCAGCTGGGATCTGGAACCAACTTCCAAGGGAAATGGTGCTCACTCCTACCTTGGGGGTCTTCAAAAGGAGGCTGGATAATCACCTAGCTGGGGTCATATGATCCCAGCGTTCATTCTTGCCCATGGCAGGGGGTTGGACTTGATGATCTGCTCAGGTCCCTTCTGACCCTAACAACCCCCACTCCACCACCAGCCCCTTGCTTGGTTATAAATTCAGTGCCATTCTACTCCCAGTTTCTTTTTCACATTGCAAACCAAAGATTAATTTTGGCATGGATGGTTATCTGAATTAAAGAATTCCAAGATGAGAATGGCAAATACGCTGAAATTCAGGAATGACTTGCCTTCTCAGAGCTGGCTTAAATCAGTAGTGATATTGTTCCTTCATGTGCAGACTTGGTTAGATTTAACAGGTTCTTTGTGGGATTAAATGACTTCTTATAGCAGTTGAATCTTTTTTTAACAGACTTTATTTCTTGTCTAAATTGAATAATCTAAAATTTGACTATTAGAAGATGCATTATTTTAGACATTACCTGGCTATTTTTATTTAAATATGTGACTTTTAGTTTCAGTTTCCTGAAGCATGAATTTTAATCTCCAAATAACTTCTGTGAATTCAAAAAGGCAACATCAGAATCAGTTTTATATGAGTTGTTTTTGTGTTTGTTTTTTTAAGGGCACTGGGACTAATGAAAATGCACTGATAGAAATCCTAGCCTCCAGAAACAGCAAGCAAATGAAGGAGGTCTCTCAAGCCTATTATAAAAGTAATTATATTTTTCAGATGGATATATATACAATACTGTCATTGCTTCCTAACCTGCCCTTAATATTCTGCTTTGAAATGAAAGATGACAGCTTTGAATTTGAAAAGTTATGAGCCCTCTATATGAAAAGTATTTTGTAATAATGCAATCAAAGTCTTTAAGAGAAGATTCAGTGAATAATGGTTTTCCATGAGATGATGTAGTTTATAGTACCACTCCAGCCCATCCTTAAATAGCTTTGTTAATTACCAGAAGGGCAGAGCTCCATATTTAGGGACAAATTTTCCCTTTGAATACAGGCAGTATAGGCACCTCCCATTGAAATCACAGCTATGTGTAAGCATCTTGGGACAGAACTTTATTCTTGCAGATAAATTTCATATGCATGGTTTGGCTACTAATGGATTTTACCCCTTATGGGTGTGGTGATACACCTTGCATATTAGATTTTCTTCCTTTTAGGGTTCTTCATATAATAGCCTCAAGCCATATAGTACAAACTATAACTAATAATAATGGCTTTAAAGTCTGCCAGCATTTTCCCACTATGACCTCTGATCACTCAGGTATACAAATTCTGCACTTAATACTGGCATATGACATAGGAGTGTGCTTGGTTACTTCTTACCATTTTGTGCAGATATATTTACAAAGCTGTGCATATGTGTTGGTCTCTGCATACATGTTATAAACTTAAAGATGCTGTTTAACCTTCATATTTGGGGGCATATTTGCACATGCATTTTGGGCCTTTTGTGAACACTCGTTTCACAGGCCTAGGGAATTACATCCTAAATGATGAAGATCTGACAGTTGGTTTCCACACCACATTCCCTTATAGCTTATAGCATTGGAATGAGGAGTGTTCATTGGTGTGCATTAAACATGTGCTTTGAATCTGCCACTATAATGCTGCACAGTGGATGTTGGTTGCAGAGGATAATCTGATCAATTGCCTTTGTGCAGGGAAAATTTTGTTTAAGTATAGATTACAAAGCACTTGCACAATACGTGGTGATTTCATTGAAGACAGACTGCTTATTTACCAATTCAGTGCGCCTGGTATTCAATAACCTGATGGTCTCTTAGGAATTAATCTATCAAAACGTACCCTAGAATTGACATTTTTAAGTAAATAGTCTGCCAAAACCTGTGCAATGCTAAGTATTCAAGCAATTTATTACTATGCTGTTCAAAAAAACTACTGTTGATTTTCAAGAAACAAAGGTGAATCTGTCTCAAGGTACCACACTGTGATGAGTTACTAGCAACTCTCACTTCAGATATTCAGAGATAAGAATATGAAAGTGTAATTTTCATTGTAGGCTGTGTGCACATAATTGCAGAAAAACATTTTATTTAAATTGATTTGTTTCTCATATAATACCTGGAAACAACTCTGCTTCTTTCCAAGGAGATTAATTGTTTAGGAGTAAATCAGGTGATGAGATTGATTTTAACATTAACAGAGCAACCTTGTGTACGTGCATACCTGGAACAGATATAGCTTATAGGTAATATAGCCCTGTGTTTGTAAGATTTATGGTTGCTTGCTTAGTGGAATAAAGTGCTATATTGACAGCAGTTTTAGCTACCCAAACTAATGTCTTTTTATATAGGAAGCATTACAAACTGAAAGGAGGTAAAATAAATCAAAAGCAAAAAAAGTTGTTTTAATGAAAAAGTTACTGTGGTAGTGTTAGTCTTCTATCCCAGGAGAAGTCTATATACTGAGTGGGAAGGATGATGTAGTGTACCAGAATGGCACTGGGGAGATGTGCATTCTGTTTCCATTTCAGACTTGCTGTATGAACTTGTCACATTTAATCTAGCTTGTGCTTGGCTGCCTGCAAATAAAAGGGAGATAATATTTTACCCACCTTGCCTAGATGTTGTAAGAATAAAACCCATGAATGGAAGGGTTACAGACTTTAGTGATGAGGGACATAGAACTACCTCAACAAAAATGGAATTAAACGACATAATTTGATGTTAAGAAGATTATTAGCCATGTGAAAATGTCATAACTTTCCTTTCTTCTCAAACAGTAATCCCATTTTAACAAATCTGCTGCTTTAAATTGGACCTACAGGGTGCGTCTACAAATTTATTAATGCGCTATTGTCTTACTGCATGGTAAAATACTTCGCAGTAAGCCTTCCCAGGAGCACAACTACATGTGTATCCTGTTAGGACCAAATATGCTCCCAACAGGAACAGCCTGGTACAGGGCGGCTTGTGCCATGCTCTGCCTCCCTGCAGCAGCCCGAGCCAGTCCTGATGCACACAGGGCCAGAAGAACTCTGGCAGCTGCAGCTGTCTCCTGGCCCTGTACACATCAGGAGGAGGGCCTGATGTGCACGGGGCTGTAGGGACGCAACAGGCCAGGAGAGAGCTGCCACTGCACCCAGCAGAGCTCTGCCACCCTGTGCACATCTGGACATACCACTGCCAGCCAGCCTGGTCCCTTACAGGACTTCTCTACTCAGCAAGGGTCTGAGCCCTAATCTGGGCAGGGAATCCCCCTCAGCAGGGAGCTGGCCGGGAGTTGTTCTACTGGTGTTTCCCTGCCCAGCCAGGGGCTCCCTGGCAGCTGCCCTACCAATGGGACAGCCCCTGGCTGGGCAGGGATTCCCTGGCCACCTAGAGCTCACTGGCAGCAGCCCCACAAGCAAGACAGTTGCTAGCGAGCCCCCAGCTGAGTAGAGAAGCAGAAAGCAACCCTGTTCGAGTGCTGATCAACTTCTGGTTCCTGGGTGGAGCTGGGAGCTAAGCAGTGCCAGAACTAGGCCCCCTGCAGGTGTGGCTGACCAATGTGGGATCACTGCACCAGGGATCAATCTTCCAGCCCCAGGGCTGCTGCCCCAGGCTCAACCTGCTGCAGAGGGGCTGGCTGGGACAAAAGGGTGCTTCACTGCGGGGCTAGCCAGCAGGCAGCATCTGTCAGCCAGCTAGAGCAACATCTATACGTGCACTGCTGCAGAGCTTTTTACCCCACAGCAGGATAGTACTTGTAAGTACAAGTATTTACAAGTACTATCCTACTGCAGAGTGAATTAGTTTACCCCAGTCTAATAGGGGTTCACTTGTTGATGCTGAGACGTTTACTGTGCAGCTGTTTAGTCTACTGTGAAGTAAACATCTTGTGTAGACGTGCTCACTGGGTAAAAGGTTGCATCCACCCAGGCTGTTTTTGACATTTCAAATCGCATGCTGCAGCAATGATACCCTTGTGAGCTGGAGAATAAGTGGTTCCCTCACAGAGGAACTGCTAGTCCTTACCTTACAACTTCATTCACACTGAGTAGTTTGACCTGACATCTCCAGCTGATAAATAAGAGGGACAATACGTGCTCCACGATATATAGGTTGACAGATTTTAAGGAATCATTAGATCATTTAATCCAATTGCCTCCAGAGTAACACTAGCCATAGAATTTTACCAGATTTCTGTGCAGAGCCCAATTACTTGGGTTTGACTACAGCACAGCTTCCTGAAAACTATCCTCTCTTGATTTAAAGACAAAAAGAAGCTGACACCACCTCACTTGATAATTTGTTCCAAACTTTAATCACTGACTCATTTCCAAGCTGAATTTCTCTGGCTTCAGCTTCCATCCATTACTTCTTGTTATGCCTTTGTGCACAGGGTTAAAGAGCCCTTTTCATAGCCAGTATTTTCTCTTTGAGAAGATACTGATCCACTGTAACCAAAGCATTTCTTCTGCTAATAAGCTAAACAGATAATGCTTTCAGCAAGAGGCTTAAAAAGCTGTATCACCAGTCCTCGAGGGAATGTCTTGATAAATCTGTAAGTACCTATCTGGAGAACAAAAACTTGAGAATGGCTTTGTAGCCTATATAACAAGATCTAGTAGCTAGAAGCAGAAACATTCAGACAAGAAATAAAGTGGACATTTTTAATAGTAAGGGAAATTAACCTTTGGAAAAGGTGTCAAAGGTCATGATTGATTGTCTGTCACTGATGGTTTTAAAATCAAGATACAATGCTTTTTCTAAAAGTTATGTTATAAGTCAATTAAGATTTAATCCTGGAAAGTAGGTCAAAGTAGATGATCACCTAGGAACTATATTTATGGCTCTTTTCATACCTTCTCCAGGTTTTCCAGCAAACTTCTTAAATGTGGAGCCCAGAGCCATATTCATTTTTGTGGTATCATTCTTACCAGTGCTGTATATATAGAAAAACCACTTATCTTCTGTTTTATATGCCCCAGTCTCCGCCTTTTGACCCTATGTTCCATTATAAATTAATGTTGAATTGCTGGCTCAGTCTGACCCCTAAATCTTTTCAGGGCCCCCATTCTATATGTATGCCCTACAGTCTTTGTTCCTAGATGTATGGCTTTACATTTGGTACATCTTGTTTTAATAGTCAGAATAGAGGGATTAAGTGTACCAATGGGATCACAGATCTTGCCTTGTGATACCATAACATTGATTCATCAGGTCTGTGGGATAAATTGCATACTACAGCAAACCAGTTTACTAGAGAGAGATTTTCCATGAACACAGATGCCTTTGCTAACTGTACCTTTTTCTTTTATAACTGGAGAACTTCACTGAATGTTTGTTTTTTCCCCTCCCCCCAGTATATAAGAAGAGCCTTGGTGATGACATCAGTTCTGAAACGTCTGGTGACTTCAGAAAAGCCCTGTTAACTCTGGCAGATGTAAGGGGTCATCCGACAGTCAACATAAGATTGCACAAAAATAATTTCAAATTGACTTGGAAATGGGTCACATATATTCTGATTGTACTTTCTTATGTGTTTATGGGTCATTTAGCATGAGCCAGGAGACGGTTTACATATTTTGAATGATTTTAAGATTTGATTAGTTAATTCCTTAAAATGAATTTTTTAATTCTTTAAAATTTAATTCTTTTCAAGCTTTTAAAATACGTTTTCTCTTGTTTAAGGTAGCTCAACTAAATAGTAGTTGTATTCAAAATGACTTCTCTGAAAACTTTGAGGGTGTGCATAGTTTTAATTATTTTAAACCTTAAAGATAAAAAACAATGGCAAAATAGCTTAGAGGACTAATATTTCTACCTCAAGACCTGGACTTAGATAAGGATAAGAAGAGACCAAAACTCATTTTTATCTTTATATAGATGCCACCATCATACCATTGTCAGACATTACCTACTTAAACAACTAGAGGTTGACATATTGCAAATCAAGACTGAGAAATTCTGGGCTGATGTCAATACATATTATGTCTTATGTTGAGCTTGCTATTGGATTCTCCCTTTCCATAAATACTAAATGCAAAATACAGAAGATCCAGCGCTCTGTCTCATTCACATAAGGAGCAGTGAGTGGCACAATTTTTCTCATTCGCTATTCCACAGTAGAATCTAGAATTGTTGTTTCTCTTCAATTCATTCTTATAGGGAAGACGAGCAGCAAGGTCTGGTGACATTAACCTTTTTTTTTCTTACGTATGTGGAGGTCCTACATACAGGGCACATCTACATGAGACAATTAGTGTGGAGCTGCCTAATTAGCTTCACACTCAAGTCTTAGCATCTACACGTGTGATCTTATTAGGCCTCAGAAAAATAATAAACGCTGTCATAATTCAGTACTTGTAAACACAAGTGCTATCCTATGGGATCATTATTTAGTGTGCTGCAGTGCACATGTAGATGCTGAGCCAGCTGGCTGGGGCACAAGAATGCTTCTGTGCAGGGACTGTCTGCCAGCTAGCCTCACACTAGAACACCCTCATACCCCAGCCAGCCCATCCACAACATGTTGAGCTGGGTTGGAGGAGCCCTGGGTTGGCAGGCTGATTTCCCTCGAACCCCCTACCAGCTGGGGCTGCTCTGACCCGGCTCAATGTGCTGCGGCCCTGGGCACACGTGTAAACTCTGGTGTGAATGCACTGGAGTTTTTTGTGTTGCACTAATATCATGTGTAGATGCACCAACAAGTATCCAACTTTGCACACACCTGTCTATTAAGGAGCATTGTGTTTCAGAAATAAGAGAAAGATGATTAGGGTTGTTTTTTAATGAACCAAAATGTCTTTTTTTAATCAAAGGGATGGATGACTGATTGACATGTTGTAAGAGGATATGGCTGCATTTGAAACACTGAAGAAAACTTTGTGCCTTTATGAGTTGTATGTCACTTGCTTTAAATGTGTCTGCTCCATATTGCAGGGCAGAAGAGATGATGGTCTCAAAGTGGATGAGCACCTTGCAAAGAAGGATGCACAGGTACAGCAAAGTAAAAGAATGCCTGAACAGAGTTGAGCTTGCCATGTGAATATTAAATAGTATTTACTGCAGGGCTGTCTAAGTTCTGAGTGGCTGAAGGTTGCACAAGCTGCCTGCTTGTGTGGGCCACCTGGGTGCCACCAGCAGCACAGGCCCTGGCTCCTGCATAGCTTCTGACTTCCCTGGAGCCCTCTCCTGCTGCACTGCCCTGCCCCCACAGGCAGAGGCACAGAGCAGAAGCTGGAGGAGGGAGGGGGAGCCTCGACACCTTGGCTCCATGTAGGCAGGACCAGTGGGGAGTAATGGCAGGCAGGGGGGAGCCCACAGGCCACATTATAACCACCACTCATAGACCAGATGTGGCCTGTGGACCACCTGTTGGACAGCCCTGATCTAGTGCATGAAAAGTAGCTGCTGTTACTACTGTGGTAGGTGCCTGATAAAGATGGGCCCTTTCCAAAAGCTTTGGATCTTTGAACACCTGAGGGAAAGCGAGCAGGGAAATGGTCAGATCAGGGGGTGCGGTTCTTACCTATCTCCAGTAAGCAGACTAAATAAAAAAGAATAATTCAAGTCTATACTACCTCATTTTATGACTTACAACAGGGCACGGTTCTGAAACAGTAGCTATTCTACTCTAGGAATATAAGAATGATCATTTTATCTTGGGTATGAGCTGACATTTCTTATTTAGTTTTTAAAGTGGCCTCTGGGGAAAAAAGCTTCAGCTTTTTGAGGTTTTCCATTCAAAGTCTAAAACTTCAGATTGCCCCACTCCATGATACTGTTATGTAAGAAGCAGAGTTGGGTTTTCAAGCTCATAGGCCAATACAGATTGCTGGTGTGTCGTGTACCTTGTTCAAATTCCTCACAGAGCTGCTACACAAGTTCTGCTGATAGTAGCCATAAAACTCCACGTGCAGTTATCCCATCTTCACCAGTAGGAGTGTGATTATGAAGCCTGTGTTTGAAGAGGTTATGTGGGCATTACTGACATCCTTTCCAGGAAACAGGGTGCAAGGAAGTCTTAGGAGCGCCCCATCTCTCAATAAAATAATCTGATGTACATTATAAGACACTCATTTATATTTGGTTCACTGGAATTAATGTTGTCATTCGCTTTACAAAGCAAATCGCATTTTCAGTAAAGCAAATCCTTTCAGCATGTTGTAACCATGGAAAAGTTTCTTCCTCTTAACTCTGAAAGATAGGACTCTCTCTGTGTCTGACTCCCACAATGTAATTTTTCAGTGTAGGTCAAAATCCAGGCAAGTTCTGCTTTTTATAACTGTCAAGACAAAAAACATGCTTAGCTTCCAGAGCTTGAATCGTAGGATGCCACAAAAGTAATCCTAAGACACTGCAATAAAAGCCATTCTATCACCAAGGATAAAGCAGCTTGTCTTCAGAATGCATATAAAATGCAAATACTAGTGTTTGAAGTAATTCAGAACAGTTTGACATGGTGAAGGGAGTAGAAAAGGTAGAGTCTAGTGGCAAAACTGATAATATTTCTTTCCATGTTACAGATTCTGTATAATGCTGGTGAGAAGAGGTGGGGTACAGATGAAGATAAATTTACTGATATTCTGTGCTTTAGGAGCATACCTCAACTGAAACTAAGTATGAAATCACTTTTGGATTATTTTATCTCTTAGTAAATGCTGATTATTTCTGTGATCCATAATTTTTATACATGTAAAATTTTGGTTTAAGGTGTTACTGACAGTTGTACTGTCCCACCCACTCCTCAGTGGTTCCATCAGCTTTTACTGAACTTAGCTTGTGAAGACACAGTCCTACCAAACTATTCACCTAGAGGAGACTTAGTAAGTTTGCATATTGAATCAAGAGCTCTAAAATATGTGTATTGCCCCAGTTGAGCATGGCTGTATTTAAAAATGAGTGTGTATATAAATTTTAAGAAGGAGCTTCACTATTTTTGTAGAGCTAGAAGAGAGAGAAAGTTTGCACTTAGACTTCAGGCAACAGGTTGCATTTGTCTTGTTATCTCCAACATTGTAGATTGCATAGCATGCATTATATGTAATAACCCCTTACCAGTGTGTACAAATGTTATGTTGACTTGGGCATTGAGCAACCAAAGAAATAATTATGTTTGATGTTTGGTGAGTCATTAAATAGTAAATACTTCCTTGCCTTATGGTTGATGGCATGTACTGCACGGAACACATTCTATTTGCTATAAGAAAACCTGTGACTGTGAAAGCCTTAATTAGATAAAGTTCACCCCCTGCTTGTCCCCATCTGGAATAGCATTTAAATGCCATCCATAGTACCGGTTGTTAAAGAAACGCAAGTGGGGAGGTGAGTAGGCTTATCTGGAGTTAACATGCTGCAGTAATAAGCAGAGGCAAATAGTCTTGGGAGAAAAGGTGATACATGTTAAAAAGATGGCACTTGAATGCCATGTCTACTTCCTAACAGAGAGTCTGTGTACATATGTAGATACATCTCTTGCCTGGCTTAGAATGCTGGTTAAATCTGTTGCTGTTCTATTGTATCTGCGCATCAAAGGCCTAATCCAAAAAAAACTGCAGTCGATTGAAAGGCTTTCATGGTGCCCCCATAGTGCCTACAAGACACTCTTCTCATGCCTAACTTATAAAACGATTTAGTACTTTCCCTTTTGTTTGATATATTTACTAGTGGTATTTCTGTCTTTCAGCATTTGATGAATACAGAAACATCAGCAAGAAGAACATTGAGGACAGCATACTGAGTGAAATGTCAGGGCATTTTGAGGATTTACTGCTAGCAATTGGCAAGTTATTTGATGAAAGATAACTGGCTGTGAAACTAGCTGTCTTGTGGGTGGGGGCGGGGGTTAAGTCTTCTAGGGAAAGTGTCATAAATCAAAATATTTGAGTCACTGAGTGTCCTAAGTATTGTAGCACAAATATGAATAAAAACCCTTCTTAATTCCGAAGCAAATGTGCACTTTGCTGTTGTCATCTTTACGCTTTAGCTTAAGGAAGCACTGTTTGACATTTTGATGTCATTTTTGTTCCCTGCCTACTAGATGTTCATAGTGTTGCTGGCAACATATTTGTTAAATAAAAATTACCTTTTTCTCACTTTGGAATCATAACATTTTGAGGGAAATGTGTCAAGTTACTTTTAGGGGCCTGTCTGATTGTGGTGGCTAGCTGGGTCTTGGGGTGCTGTGCTGAAACCATTTTAATTCATATTCCCACAGCTGTTGACTGGGAAAAATTAGCTTACTGATATAAGTATCTCACACTAGACACTCAAATTAGAAAAAATGGTTTGGTTGGTTTTGCTGAAGGTTACAGAGGAAATCTGTGTGTCAGAGCATGAGAACCCGTATCTCCTGTCTCTAGTATTAGCTTCCTTTCCTTTCATGTGTCCTTGTGCCAAGGTAGCAGAATTAGCAGAATTTGCAGATTTGTTGGAATCTGACATGGCTACACTGTGAGTGCTTCTGCAGTAGCCTTAAACTCTCAACTTCCGGGCTTCCTGCCGCTCACCCCAATGCCCACACCACCAGAGTGGAATGGAATTAGCTGAAATAGTGAAATGGTCATGTTAGCTATGCAAGTCATTCACCCTCTCATGATATCACCCTCAGTATAACAGTATTATAATAGTATTCTGAGGGCAGGAGGGGCTTACACGTATGCCTTACCACCTTTGGTCCTGACATTTTGCAAGGCAGAAAATGTAGCCTGGGAGATATTTTTTTAATTAAAGTAAAAATCGTGGCACTAATGGTTAACTTGAGAGGACCTCCTAATTGTGAAATAGTGTTTCTAT